ATTGCAACCTCCTACACCTTGTTAACCACCTAACTCATATTGCAACCTCCTACACCTTGTTAATCACCTTACTCATACTGCAACCTCCTAAACCTTGTTAACCACCTAACTCGTACTCCAACCTCCTACACCTTGTTAACCACCTTACTCATACTGCAACCTCCTACACCTTGTTAACCACCTTACTCATACTGCAACCTCCTAAACCTTGTTAACCACCTAACTCATACTCCAACCTCCTACACCTTGTTAATCACCTTACTCATACTGCAACCTCCTAAACCTTGTTAACCACCTAACTCGTACTCCAACCTCCTACACCTTGTTAACCACCTTACTCCTACTGCAACCTCCTACACCTTGTTAACCACCTTACTCCTACTGCAACCTCCTACACCTTGTTAACCACCTAACTCGTACTCCAACCTCTTACACCTTGTTAACCACCTAACTCATACTCCAACTTCCTACATTTTTGTTAGCTGCTTAACTCGTACTCCAACTTCTTAAATCTTGTTAACTAGTTAATTCATAATTCAATCACCTAGATCTTTAACCATCGGCCCACACACCAAAATCCTATAACTTGTTAACCATGTGGCTCATACACCAACATTATGCATTTGTTAGCCATCAAGCTTACATACCAACATCCTGTTAACCATTCAACTCAAATACCAGCATCCTATACTTTGTTAACCATTTACCTCAAACACCAAACATCCCATGTCTTCTTAACGATATAACTCGTACATCAACATTCTATACACTGTTAAGCATCTAGCTCAAAAACTAACATCCTACATCTTGTTAACCTTCTAGCTCATAATCAGCATCCTAAATCTTGTAAAGCATCTCATGTATAATTCTATATCTTTCAAACTATGTAATTCATACTCTAACCCCTAGACTTTGTAAAGTATCTAGCTTGTATTTCTACATTTGTAAAGCATCCAAGCTGTAATCCAACCTCTTGCATTTCGTAAATCATCTATCTTATAGTTCAATCTTCCGTATCTTGTAAACCATTTAACGTATACTCCTAAATCTTGAAAAGAATGTAGCTTATACACCAACCTTCTATATCTTGTAAAGCGTATATCTAGCCTACACTCACACTCCTACGTCAGGTGTTAATATTGAACTGATAACGATTTGAGTTATTTTCTTATTATCATCAAAATATACACGTAATTTTGATACTTACATTTTAGTTCTTTTCTTCCGATCTGCAGACTTTTTAACGAGTGACGTCATGATTTGGATTTTATTAACCCAGCGATCTCACTAGTTACTATGTACCTGAGGAAGTTATAGCGGGAAAATACAGTGATCGTCATGCCTTATCATGCGCACGTGGCAGTCTACATCCCCTTTTTATTATCCAATGAGCAGAGCTAGAAATGGGGATTGGAGTTTTAAAAATAGCCTTTTCACATGCACGCGGTGGCCTAACCCAGCTTTTGGAACGTTTTACAAAGACTCCCGTACAAATACTGAATGAGTAAACATTTTACTTTATATCTAAACTGATAAAAGTCGGGGGGGAAAAAAGAAATATTGTATTATAAAAGTGTAGTTAAACAAACTTACCTTAATTGCTATGAATTCGGGAGGGAAGCCAATATGTATTAAAACATTTAGTGTAAGTTATTTTCATAGCTGCGTAGTAGAAATAAAAGTAAAAAATGTGTTTACAATATTTTATATAATTATAGAAAAATAAGTAATTTTAATAGCTATGTTAGTCTGTTTTAGTTAAACACGAAGCCCCACAATGGGCTATTTTTGCTGTACCCACCACGATTATCGAAACCCGGTTTTTAGCACTATAAGCCTTCAGACTTACCGCTGAGTCACTGGAGGGCAAAAAGCTATGAAATAAACAGAAAAGTTAAAGAAATATTCAAAACATTTAATTTAATTACACAAAATAACTTATTTTAATAGCTGTGAAGTAGGAAGATTATGTGTGTGTGTTTGTTTTGTTATTATGCACAAAGCCACACAGTGGGCTTTCTGTGCTCTGCCCACCACTGGTATCGAAACCCAATTTTAGCATTATAAGCCCTGAGACTTACCAATGAGCTAATGGAGAGGGGAGAAAAGTAGGAAGAAATGACAAGAAGTTTTCAGCACGATTCATATAGTTGAAAAAAATACGTAATTTTAATAGTTGTGAAGTTGAAACAAAAGTTCAAAAATTGTGGAGCATTTGATATAGTTACACGAAATATGCTATTGTAATAGCTGTGAAGTAGGAAGAAAAATCTAAGAAAACTCAGAACATTTGATGTAGTTACACGAAATATGCTATTGTAATAGCTGTGAAGTAGGAAGAAAAATCTAAGAAAACTCAGAACATTTGATGTAGTTACACGAAATATGCTATTGTAATAGCTGTGAAGTAGGAAGAAAAATCTAAGAAAACTCAGAACATTTGATGTAGTTACACGAAATAAGCTAGTGTAATTGCTGTGAAGTAGGAAGCAAGATTTAAAAAACTCAGAACATTTGATGTAATTACACGAAATAAGCTAGTGTAATAGCTGTGAAGTAGGAAGAAAAATCTAAGAAAACTCAGAACATTCGATGTAGTTACACGAAATAAGCTAGTGTAATTGCTGTGAAGTAGGAAGCTAAGTATT